TCTTTTTGTAAACATGAATCTGAAAACTGCAAAACCCAAAATTTAATGGCAAATTCCAGGTTTAACTGCATAGAAAATGTGAATGCTGAACACCCCAAGTCATTGTTTGTTTTTAGTCGCATTTTTTGTTGGCATAAATGTCAAGGATGGAGAGCCCCAGGTGATTGTTAATCTTTGTGTTGGTTTTCTGATATCGAGGGCTGGAGGCCCTTTAGTGATTGATCAAGTCTGGGCTGGATTGGCCGTTTAGTTTTTGCAAAAAAATGAATACAACCAATCCTCACCAGGACTTTCTTCATTTTTTTGGCCGACCACTGCTTTTGACAAATGAAAGGCCATCCAGTCTTGACAGTTTGTCTTTATAAAACTACTGCTGCCCGAACTGATTTCAAAAAAGGGCCCTCCAAAACCCTTGGATTGCCGATACTTCAAGAAAGAAATCAGCCCAGGGCTGGGACCTCCATCTCAAGTTCATTCTTTTAAGTTCAAAGAAAGTGGATGGCAGCAAAACAAAACGACAAACAAACAAAAACACATGAACACCCATACACACGCATGAACAACCATGTACATCCATGGACACCCATGAGCACTTGAGCGCGCATGAGCACCCATGAACTCACATGAACTCCAAATACAATGCAGCTGGCAAATTACTTGTTGAACCATATGTCTCACAGTTTTTGAACTTCTTATTTTGGGTTGTTGGCTATGTGAGTTTTTGATTTAATTGTTCTTTTCTTGAACTGAACATTAATTCTATTTTCATGTTTTTTTTGTTTTGTCCTGTGGTGGCTTCGCGCCCCGAAAAAAAATCCTTGCTGATTTTTGCAAAACATGATTTGTCATTTTATATTTTTAAAACTATATATATATAGTTATTTATTTATTCAAATTTATTTATATATATATATATACATATACGTATATGTATATATATATATATTTGCATATATGTATATATATATATATGTGTGTGTGTGCGTGTGTGTGTGTGTGTGTAAATTTCTGTATTTATTTATATATATATATAAGTGTGTGTGTGTGTGGGGGGGTTGTCTCAAAATGATGTGTCCTTTTTTCCTCTCAAAGAACCCTTTTTGGAACCAAAACAAAACACCTCGTTTTGAGACATATCCATGTATATACAATATATTTATTTTTTGACATGTGTTTTTTGTTTCTATCCTGTGTTGGTTTGTCTCATCCAAAATATATGGTTTTTGTTTTTCTTTTGTATGTAGTTTTTTCAGCATCATTTTATCGGAAACAATGTATCAAATCAAAAAATGTTTCATTGGAGATTGCAATATAGATAGATATGTTTATATAAAAAGAAAACGAAGTTTTTCCAAAAAAAATGTTCCAAAACATGTTTTTCATATAAATAACCTATAATGAAAAAATGTTATTCATATAAATAACCTAAAGAAAAAATGTTATTTGATCATTCTGACTATTAGGTAAAACAGTTGTTTTACCTAATAGGTAAAAACAAAATTTAACTAATAGTCAGAAAACAAGATATAACCTAATAGATAGAATTTAGCCTAACCAGAGCTTTTGGGTAAATGCAGTATTTCGACCTGGCAAGGCAAGGGCAAAGGGCGATCGCAAAGCGCTGGCAAGGGGCCAAGGGGCTAAAGCTGCACGGAAGGGTTTCGGGCCGTGTGGTGGAACGTGCTTCGCGCAGGTTTTGAATAATCTTCTAAATGCAGAATTTCGACCTGGCAAGGCAGAGCCAAGGCGAAAGGTGCACAGGAGGGTTTCGTGTCCTAATGAAACGTGCCTGTCGCAGGTGTGGAAACCGTTTAAATGCAATATTCGACCTAGCAAAGCGCTGGCAAAGGGCTAAAGCTGCACGGAGGGTTTTGGGTGGAACTTGCTTCGCGCAGGTTTTGAAACCCTCTCTAAATGCAGTATTTCGACCTGGCAAGGCAAGGGCTAAGGGCGATGGCAAGGCCCTGGCAAGGGGCTAAAGCTGCACGGAAGGTTTTGGGGTCCTGGTCAAACGTGCTTCGCGCAGGTTTTAAGACCCTCTTAAATGCAGAATTTCGACTTGGCAAGGCAGGGGCAAAGGGCGAAAGGTGCACAGGAGGGTTTCGTGTCCTAGTGAAACGTGCCTGGCACAGGTGTGGAAACCGTCTAAATGCAATATTCGACCTGGCAAAGCGCTGGCAAGGGGCTAAAGCTGCACGGAAGGGTTTGGGGCGTTGGTGGAACGTGCTTCGCCAGGTTTTGAAACCCTCTTAAATGCAGAATTTCGACCTGGCAAGGCAGGGGCAAAGGGCGAAAAAGGTGCACAGGAGGGTTTCGTTTCCCAGCGCAGGTGTGGAAACAAACCGTCTAAATGCAATATTCGAGCTGGCAAAGGGCTGGCTAAAGCTGCACAGGGGGTTTTGGGCCCTGGTGGAAAGTGCTTCGCGCAGGTTTTGAAACCCTCTTAAATGCAGAATTTCGACCTGGCAAGGCAGGGGCAAAGGGCGAAAGGGGCACAGGAGGGTTTCGTGTCTTAGTGAAACGTGCCTGGAGCAGGTGTGGAAACCATCTAAATGCAATATTCGACCTGGTAAAGCGCTGGCAAAAAGCTGCTCGGAAAGTTTCGGGGCAACGCAGGTGCAAAGGGCGAAAAACTTTAAATGTAAAGTTCAACCTGGCAAAGCGCTGGAAAGGGGCTAAAGCTGCACGGAAGGGTTTGGGGCCCTGGTGGAACGTGCTGCGCGCAGGTTTTGAAACCCTCTAATTAATGCAGAATTTCGACCTGGCAAGGCAGAGGCAAAGGGCGAAAAATTCTCTAAACACAATATTCGATCCGACCTGGTAAACCGCTGGCAAGGAGAGCTGCACGGAAGGGTATCGGGCCCTGGTGGAACGTGCTTCCCGTAGGTTTTGAAACCCTCTAAATGCAATATTTTGACCTGGCAAGACAAAGGCAAAGGGGGAAAGGTGCACAGGAGGGTTTCGTGTCCTAGGGTGGAACGGTCGAAATGCAAGATACGACCTGGCAAAGCGCTGGCACAGGCTAAAGCTGCACGGAAGGGTTTCGGGCCCTGGTGGAACGTGCTTCGCCAGGTTTTGAAACCCTCTTAAATGCAGAATTTCGACCTGGCAAGACGCTGGCAATGGGCTGCTGAGGGGTGCTTCACGCTGCGCGGGATGGTTTCGTGACAGACGTGGACAGGAGAAAGGGCATGAGGCGACAGACATAATAGCCAGGAAGATGGCCCTGGCTGATGCTGCACACCTGCGGTGATCTCAGGCGCCGCCCCGCCTGCGCCAAGGCTAGGCAGGGGGCGGCGGATATGTTGGACAATGAGACTCCAGCCCGGAAAGGAGCAAGCGAGATTGTTCTCTGGACCTGAGACCCACGGTCCCTTGAATGAAAGGGTTCAAATGGATCCTGGTTGGAATTTCCACTACAAAAGTATATAGTGGACTTGGGCCCTATGTAAAACATATTTTTCAATGGTTTTACAGTCCCCCTAGGACCATGTGTCCTTGCATTTTGTAGTAACCCTAGGTCACATATGTTTCTAGATTCAAACATGGGCTGGTCATAGAAGTTTGTAGTGGTTAAGTATGTGAGATAATAGTCGGCCCAAAATGGATATCTGAATTCACTCAGATTTGCCCTAAAAGTACTTTGTAGTAAATTTGTAGGGTTCCACGTTCAATACTAATATTTCCCCAGAGTAGTTTTCAATTTAAATAAAATACCAATACCGCACAAACATACCCTTCAATTACACTGGCCGCTGCATACCCAAAGCCCAAAGAGGTCCACTACAAAATCATGTTGCAGCGTTCCAACGCTACAAAATCCACTTCAAGAAATTTTTGTCCCTCCCCCATGGCAACCACCTAGTGTCATCGATCATCACAAGACCACACACGACCAGGTTTTCTGGCGCATGCATTTGTCATTTATTTTTTTTACTGTCAAAAAAACAATTATGTTCACTTTTTTTGTATAGTGTATACCAAAAAACACTACAAACTACTTTGTCATTTTTTGGATTGATCTTGAAGACTTGAGTGGGATCTACTTAAAAATCACTACGAACATCTACATGTTTTTTTAAGGGTATCTTGAAGGGCCTCTTGTTAGATTCTTTGGTTCTTGTAGTAACCCTTTATCCAGGCTGGGGTTGCACTTTTGTAGTGATTCTTTTTTTTCGCTTGTGCATGGAAAATGTTGTGATTGGGGTTGGGCAGAGCTACTTTACAGCTACAAAATCTTGACCCAACAGTCCTCCCCAAATACCAACCCCGATTCAAATGGTGCATCTGCACTTGAAAGGAAGAAACCATGCATTTTTCCTCTTCAAGTGTTCTGAGGTAAACTTAGGATCCGATTAATAAAACCCCTCAATATCCCTCAATAACTTTAAAAAATCCGGCTGGCATCGGCTGACCCATATTTTCTTGGTGTATTTGTTTTCAACTTGGCCCCATTAATTTTAGTATGCGGTCGTGTTGTTGGCCATGAAAACCACCGCTTAAATCCGTTTAGTTTAGTAATACATATGTTATTTATATATATATATATTATAGTCACCGACGGCTGGTAGGCAGGGATTGTTCTGCTTACTGCACCCCCTTAAAGGTGGTTTTGGGGGTCAAAAAGGTCGTTTCGATTCATAGGGTTTTTTTGGGGTATCCTCAGAACAACCTGTAGTAAGCAGAAACTCCTCTCTTGCCTGATTTTTTGGTGATTCCTGGTTTTCAGAGATTCTGCTAACTGCATTTCTCGCCGAATGTCCACTTGCTCAAGACTCCAAGACTGCAAAGAACATGGTGGAAGAACAGAATAAACTATATCTATATATATATAAAAATGTCTATTTGGATTGGTGGGCGAGAGGAATGCAGGAAACAAGCGGCAAACGCATTCAACAACAAACAACATTTTGGGCAGAGCGTGTGCTATGTGGGTTGTTGTATATAAAAAAGTGTGTGGGTTTCAGCCATTTGTAGTATTTTTTCCCTTCCACGTCATCATGGCAGAGTCTTCGAACGTGCTGGTGGAACACCATAAGTGGGCTCAGCTGGCCATTACCCATGTATTGGGAACACATGGGAGCGGGGCCGTGCTTTGGCAAAAGCACCCACTTGTTTTCTCCAGCATGTTTTCAGGCACATGCTACCCTGAGCGGGCATTGACCTACATTTCAGCTGCACGAAGGGATGTAGCCCCAGACAGCAAAGACCTGAGTGTACCTTGGTCCTGCCATAGTTTTTAAAGAACAAATTGGGGTGAGAGCCAATGCAATATCATTTTCCAAGGGGATTCTACGGTATAAAGGGGCATTTTCATTTTCTACAAAATCAATTTTCCAACTCAAAAAAAAATGTGAGATCGGAAGGGCTGTAGTTAGCAGAATGGTTGATTCTGCTTACTGGGGGGCCCTGGTGACGGCTAAGGATCCTGTTTGGACATGTGAGATAGATTCCAAAGCCCGGGCTTCACAACGAGATGCTGTACCAGACACCGCATGCAAGTTCGAAAATATTGAGCACTTCATCCACGCAGGGGCATTGGCAGAGATGAAAAAAGTGAAGGGCAAGCACGGTGGCAAAAGGTTTCAGAAGTGGTGGGCCATTGCCAAGAAAGCGACGTTCAATACGCATGCATATTGTACCCAGCATCTTCGAAAGCATTTGGGCTAGAATTTGAAACCATCCGGGGTTTCAGCCCACTTAAAGACAAAAGAATGCAGTAAGCAGATGTTTAAATCTGCTTGCTACATTCTTGGGTTTGGAGGGCCATCCTTTTCCACTAGTTTCTTGGTGTTTGTGGTAAATTTCAATCTGAACTGGTGGAAACAGGGAATACTTTGAGTGCATGCTGCGCATTCCCAAACGATAATGTTTTTCACCGGTTCCGATAAGACTATATATATATAATAGTTATAGTTACAAGTGTTTATGCAATCATTGTTAACCAAATTTTGCTGTTTAAGTAGTGGCAAATTGCAATCTGAACCGGTGAAAACAGGACTACACGGTATCATTCCCAAAGGGATAGAGGGGCTTTTTCACTGGTTCAGAAAAGATCATGTACATAAGCTACTTGTTTATGCTACCCTTGTCGTCCAATGTCTTGATTGCCTTCGTTTTTTTAATTTATGCTCGTTTCAGCAAAGCTCAAAAAAACACAATGGTGGCACTAGCTGGCATGACCCCAAAATGAGGAAAGACACAGGTTTTCTTCATTTTTGCTGTTCTTGGTGACCAACTTAACCTTCAAAAAGCAATGTTGGCGCTATGATTCCCAAGGTGCCCTATTCGCAAAAGCATCACGGACACAACGGGGAGCATTTGCAAAAGCTACAGCACCATGGGAAATATGGAGCTGGACGACAGTGAGAATTCCATTCCATTGGTGATTTGGCTTGCTTACCATTTCTATCATCGCACGCCCCTGCTTGTGCACGAGAACGTGCGTGGCTCAGGCAGTCGAGGCAGGGTATGAAGTCTGCCAAGCGAAATGTGATCCCAAAGACATTGGCATCCCAGTAGGAAGGCCACGGAAGTCGTTCGGCCAAAGAATATGATCATTCTTTATTGATTTCCCCTCATATATATATATATATGTATATATATATGGTTTCCAATGATTTTGTCTCATTTATGGTGATATGTTCCTGTTTCAGAAATTGGTTTCAACACAGTTTAGAAAAGCAGGACTGCAGTAAGCAGAATTTGATATCTGTTTACTGCAATGGTTTAATTAGTTGAAAAGGCAGAGGGACCTACATACGAGTAGTTGCTATGGATTTGTCGTATGAGCACCTATGGATTGCTACGTTAAATATATATATATATGTGTGTATATATATATGCAACATGTACATGGTATATGCATTTTACATGGGCATTTTCCAAGACTGTCTGCCAAGGTTTGACATTTTCTGGCACCCAGATTTCTTGGAGTGCTTGGGAGACATAGCCAAGACCGACAGTGAGCTCGCATCCGTGGTGCTGAATGGTCTACCCAAATGCCGCATCAATGATCTGTTCTTTGAAACCGATGAGCAAGCTCTACGTTTGGAGATGAAAAGGCAAAGCAGTTCCGCATCAGAAGGACAGATTGGGGGGGAACGGCAGTAAGCGGAAAGACAATCTGCTTACTGGGGATGGGCCACAGATGGGGAATATGATGTATATATATATAAATACATGCATACACACACAAACACACATATATATATATATGTATAGACATAGATTTAGGTATATAGACAGATAGATGACCAAGCACAGTTTCATTGAAATGATGCAAAAAGTGGTGATTTTCTGGGTTCGAAATCATGGTGAAGTGTGTGTGTGTATATATGTATATATATATATATATACGCAGCATCAACTACAGAACCACGCTGGCCATAGGCTCAAGCAGGGCCTTCCAAAGTTAGGGGTCATGCAAGGTAAACGACTCAGCCTGGAGGAACTTTGGTCTACTGGGACGGCCCAAGATGTCGCTAATTATCTAGCGCAACTTGAAGAAAACAAGCATGAGGCGCCCAAATTTGCACCCTTCCACCTTCAGGAAATGAAACAAGAAGCAAATGGCGATAGCAAACCTGCAGCACTTGACGTGGAAACCAGCAAAAAAAGGAGAACCGACTCAGACCATCATTAAAAAGAAGCAACAACCAAGGACAAGGATGAAGTACTTTCAGAGGATCCATCACAAGAGCCAACCCATCAACCACTCCAACCGGGCGTGTATCACGTTAAACAAAGTCTTGGACCCATGTGGCAACGCCGCAGCCCCCCGAAAAAAGCAATTCCTCCAGGCCGGGTCCACAGGTGACTTATATAGACACAGCCCACAGAAATGCATTTTTTAACAATTTTCTGACATACAAGACCAGAGAAGTGGTACATATACATATCTATGAACGCAACATTTAGGTTCGGAGCTCTTCGAAAACAGCTATTGAAAGAGTGTTGATAAAGCCACAGGGTGGTGTCATAGCTGTTTTGAGCCGCCATGGTGTCTTTCGATGTCCTTTTTGTCGCAGCCGCCCTGATCTCTTTGTGGGTGACATGGTCTATGTGTAGCGGGTGGGCTACAAAACTCCTAGTCAAAAAGTTGATCGGCCGCATGAGCACAAAGGACAAGGGAGAGATGCTTCTCTTTTTGATGGGCCTTGTGAAATATGTGGAGCATGGCGAGCATGATGATGACGATGGGGAGTGGTCTGTAGTTTCAGATGTCTCTCCAACCCCGGAAGATTTTTCTCGTTGTCAGCATGTGCGCACCACATGGAGGGGATCAAACCAATATCAGAGGCGCTTGGTCTGCAAAGACTGTGGACAGATTTTGTTCCTCACAAAGGCACCAAAGAAGAAAATCACAAAAAAAAATCCACCAAACGAGTATGACTTCATCATGGTGATTTCTGTTTCTGCCTAGCACCATTTGGCTAGCCGTTCCAACCTCTCAAAAGAGATGACAAGAGACTCCTGTGAACATAGTTCAAGACCGCGACGCAAGAAAAGAAGACATTTCCAGTAAGCAGAATGCAATTCTTCTTGCTACCGGTCTGGGTGTTGGGGCCTGGTTTTGATCCTGACCCTTTCCAACTACTGCGGCTATATATATATATATACACATACATGCGCAAATATGATACTTGTGCTTTCTTGGAAGCTATATATATATATATATTTATATACATATATATATATATATATGCACATAGAAAACTCAAAATATAGGCACTTTTTCTAGAAAGAACTTGTTTCACCTGAACCCTTTGTTTTGGTGGCAATCCGAATCATTTTGAGGCATGCCCTTCCCATTTCCAGGGCAGAGGTTAAAAACAAACGTGTATCGAGACAACTACGCTTTTCATACACCCTGCGGCCCACCCAAACAATTCAGCCTCAGTGGTTGCCATCCACGGCTAAAATCCTTTTTGAAACAAAGCAAAGCAGTAAGCAGATTTGAGAACCTGCTTACTACCGCCAGTTGGCCGCCAGGAGCCGTTGCATCCTGTGATCTTAGCGATTGGACCTCTCTTCTCACGGACAATGAGGTGCAGAACCTTGAGAAATACAGAAAGAAGCTACTGGCCAGCAGATAGACCAGTTGACCACTTTGTATGTATGTATATGTATGTATGTATGTATGTATATATATATATACATACTATGTATGCAGGTAGGCAGGTAGGTATGTATGTATGTATGCATGCATGTATGTATGTGTGCATGTATGTATGTATGTATGCGTATGTGTATGTAGATAGGCATGCATGCATGTATATACATAAATACAGACGTGTATTGAAAGATGCTACGTATATATATATATATAACAAGCGCAAAGGGAGATATGCAGAAACGTGCGCACTTCCTTTCAATGTGCATGTATGTATATATACAAATATGTTTGTATATGTACACGTTAATCCAAGTAACTATATAAATACAATACTCAGAAATTCATTTTTATTTATGTTTCAGCCCACCACCTGGGAAGAAGAAAAGACGGGATATGTACGCAAATCCTTATCTTTATATCTTTTGCAACGCGTCCAATCCACAAAGGTTTCATGAGAAATTTGGAGAGGTCGATCTGGAACCAGTTTTTGCACTTGCGCAGAACCCTGACAAAATGCCTACTATGACTTCGGCCCATGGGGTTTTGCCATGCTTCACAACAAGCAACAATCGACTTTGGCATGATGGGCTTAAACGTTGGATGACGGCGAGGGAAAAAATTGCAGCAAGTGGGCTTCCTGTTTCATCTCTCCAAGTCCAGGCAGCCAAGCTATGTCAAGGTGAAGCAGTAGATTGGCAATCGGACTACTCATGGCACAAACGTGTGGGCAATGGTCAGCAACTGCAAAATGTCGGACTGGTTTTGATGTCGATCTTTTTGAACTTGAAATTCAAAGACTCGCTCCCTGCTGGCTTTCTTGACATTCAGCCTCCTTCCCAACCAGAGGGGCTTGTGGAGCTTGAGGACAAGACCTACTTGCTTTCCATCGGGGGGGGCGGCTTCAAAGTCCCTAGCAAGGAGATCGCTTTGAAAGCACACGGTGCCTTGCACGTACCTTTGCTGTCCTTATGTTTTTTTTCCAACCCAAAAAATCTTGAAGGCTTGTCCCCCGGGGCAGAACCTAACGCACTGTCCTGTGCAAGAGTATCTTTTCTCCACAGCTTCAAATTTGTCAATTTTGAAGAATTTGGATGTGTGTGAGAAGATCGCCTCAAAGAATGGGACACGTGTGAAAGCAGATCTCTGCGTATTTTCGCGCATGCATAAAGAAATATATATATATATATATAATGGATCCCAAAAAGTTATTTTGTATCATCATCCAGTCTGAACCGGTGGAAAAAGGATTGATTTTGGTGCTATGTGCATTTGGCCCAGGCAAGAATTCCCAAAACGTCATGCGTTTTCAACGGTTCAGAAGAAATGCCCCCTAAAAGAAAAGGATTTCCGGGTTATGATATGGGTGTATATAATAAATTACTTCACTTCGAATGATCCCCACCATGACATTTATACATTTTCTTACTGGCAAATCTTCTGGCATTCTATCTGACATATCTTCTGGCATTCTATCTGGCATGTCTTCTGGCATATGTTCTGGCATATCTTCTGGCATTCTATCTGGCAAATCTTCTGGCATTCTATCTGGCATATCTTCTGGTATTCTATCTGACATTCTATCTGGCATATCTTCTGACATTTTTTCTGGCATTCTATCTGGCATATCTTCTGACATTCTATCTGACATATCTTCTGACATTCTTTCTGGCATATCTTCTGACATTCTGTCTGGCATATCTTCTGACATTCTTTCTGACATTCTTTCTGGCATTCTATCTGGCATATCTTCTGACATTCTATCTGACATCTTTTCTGACATTCTTCCCGTTGAGGTCCGGCAGTGCCCACTGCGATCTGGAAGTCGTGGTTGAGGTCCGGCAGTGCCCGCTGCGATCTGGAAGTCGCGGTTGAGGTCCGGCAGTGCCCGCTGCGATCTGGAAGTCGCGGTTGAGGTCCGGCAGTGCCCACTGTGATCTGGAAGTCGCGGTTGACGCCCGGCAGTGCCCACTGCGATCTGGAAGTCGCAGTTGAGGTCCGGCAGTGCCCACTGCGATCTGGAAGTCGCGGTTGAGGTCCGGCAGTGCCCACTGCGATCTGGAAGTCTCGGTTGAGCCGGCAGTGCCCACTGCGATCTGGAAGTCGCGGTGGAGGTCCGGCTGTGCCCACTGGGATCTGGACTGCGAGGAGGAGGAGGACGAGGAGGAGGAGGATGCGGAGGGAGGAGGAGGAGAACAGCTTTGATAAAATCTAACAACCCTCACGTGGCAGGTGGGGAAATATGTAAAAACATATGTATAGTATACGCATAGGAAAAGAGATATACATGTGCGTGCTTGTGCTCAGCTTCCGATGCATTTTCATTGGCCATCCAGAGTCCAAGTTCTGTCAAACAGGTAAAAGATGGTAAGCAGAAAGGCAATCTGCTTACTGCAGTCCTGTGTGTTCAAGCATTTTTTAGAAAACACATGGGTACTGGAAAAGAACACCATGGCTAAGATCATTTTTTGAAAAACACATGGAACATGAAAGAGAACCAGCATGGATAAGATGAAAAACATTTAAAAACATATGTGCGCATATATATATATATAAATATAATACCACTGCAGCAAGCAGCTATCCAATTCTGCTTACTGCTTTTAGTTTTGACAGCTTTATGATAGTACCTAAAAGCAAGATAAAACATGAGAAAAACGGTGGAAAATGAAGAATACTATGAAAAAACGTTGAACAACAATGAAAAATCATGAAAAACATTGAAAAACACAAGAAAAAATAATGAAAAACATAGGAAAACAATGAAAAACAAAGAAACATCAGGAAAAAACATTGAAAACACTAAGCCAAAAGCATGAAAAAACATGGAAAAACATTGAAAATCATGAAAACATGGAAAAAAACAACGACAAGTAATGAAAAACCTTGAGAAAAACAATGAAAAACCGTTTTTCATTGTTTTTCTCATTTTTTTTTCGAAATTGTTTTTCTTTTCGAAAAAATCTTATTTATTTTTAATTCAAATTATATACATACATGGTTTTAAAACTATAAAATATATTTAAAAACTTATAGATATGACTTTTCTATTTTTTTCATTTTTCGTTTTCCCACTTTGTTTCCCGTTGTATTCCCCGTTGTGCTACCCCGTTGTATTACCCCGGGTGGATGGGTTGAAGTCCTCGAGCCTGTTTCCCCGTTGTAGTGCCCCGTTGTAGTACCCGGGTGGATGGGTTGAAGTCCTCGAGCCTGTTTGTTCCATTTACATTTTTTATCATTTAATTTCTCAATATGTTCATTTCTTTTTTCATAGTTTCTCATTGATTTTTCAATGTTTTTCATTGTTTTTCATTGTTTTTCTCAAGGTTTTTCATTACTTGTCGTTGTTTTTTTCCATGTTTTCATGATTTTCAATGTTTTTCCATGTTTTTTTCATGCTTTTGGCTTATTGTGTTCAATGTTTTTTCCTGATGTTTCTTTGTTTTTCATTGTTTTCCTATGTTTTCATTATTTTTTCTTGTGTTTTTCAATGTTTTTCATGATTTTTCATTGTTTTTCAATGCTTTTCATTGTTTTGTTCAGTGTTTTTGATGTTTTTTTAGTGTTTTTCAATGTTTTTCATTACTTCTCGGTGTTTTTCCATGTTTCTTCATGATTTTTCAGTATTCTTTCAATGTTTTTCATAGTCTTTCACTGTTCTTTATTATTTTTCATTGTTTCTAACATGATTTTCCCTTATTCTTGGTTATTTTTCATTTGTTTTTCATAGTTGTCTAAAGCTGACAAAAACAAAAGGCAGTAAGCAGAATTGGATAGCTGCTTGCTGCAGTGGTATTGTAGATATATATATATATATATATATGGATATGTTGGTGAGTTTTTTACATGTGCAAAAAAATAGTTTGGGTTCACGCACCAAACATATGCGGAGGTACTTGACCAAGTCATTACACCTAACACACATGTATTATATATATACATTGTATTTGTAATATGTATATATATATATATATATATATATATATAGATATAGATTTCTCTCCTTGTGCTAATATACATATATATATATATTACATATACATATCTATATCTATATATATATATATATATATTAGACATACACGCACATACGTGTACAAATACGTACACGTGCTTGTTTATTTGGCTGCCCGGCACCAGCAGCCAGAACCTTGAGTCTGCTTACTGCCACCCTGCTAAGGAAAAGAGCCTTGAGCTACAGGGCATGAATGTCGAAGGCTTGAAGAATGCGATGTCTAAACTCGTGACGGGTGGCATCCCAAAGGCATTCTCGCAAGCGAACAAGACCACGGAAAAGGCCATGCTTCTGCAGCAATGGTTTGAAAAGGTCCTCATCCCTCAGTTCGAGTCACACTCGGGGGCACAGAAGCTGTCGCTTCAGAAACCAAAGCCAGAAACACACGGACAGCCAGGAGAGCAGGAAGCAAAACCAGGACAGCAGAAAGCAAAGCCAGGAAAGCAGGAAGCAAAGTCAGAACAGCAACAGAAAGACCTCTTTCAGACCTTGCGCAACCATAAGCCTGATGTGTTGCATGGCGAGGTGGAGGAGACTCCAGAGCTGCTGGCCAAGATTTTGATTTTCAGTCGAGAATGGCTGGACCTCATCTTGGAAGGCAAGAAATGCATCGAACTGAGGAAAACAAAGATCAGCGCGTCCCTCAAGAAAGAAACTTTCTACTTGGGAGTGAAGGATACCATCTACGCGCGGTGTGATGTTTCCCCTGGCGTGAAGATTGAGACCCCGGAGCAATTCGACATGTTGAAAGAGGGTCACCAGTGGCAAGACCCAAAGCCTCCCTATGGATATCCCTTTACTGGCCACGCCTTGTCTCAGGTCCAGCGTGTGAAACCTCTTGAGTTTCAGAAAGCTTGGGGTTCCATCGGGAGGGCCCTCTATCGCCCTCCCGGGTGGGTTGGGCCAGCCGATGATGATGTCGAGGAGAAGCCGCAGACAGAAGGTGCTTCTTCAAGCCCAAAGATTGAAGAGGATGAAGAAAAGGCGGCAGGCTCAAAAGCAAAGAAAGTAAAGGGAAAATTTGCAAAGAAAAAGAAGAAGACCGGCACGGCCCAAACTGGCACTACCAAGCAAAAGATTGCATGCCTTCCTCCTACCATGCTGAAAGGCCAAGAAGTTGAAATAGTGGATCCAGCCGCACACCTTCAACCTAGTTCTGCCAGACTTGACAGCAAGAAGAAGCAACTGCAGAGGAAGTTTGACCAAGCAAATGCCGACGCTCACATCTCAGGAGGCGCCCTCGCACACCTGAACAACCTGGCGTTTTCAAGGTCTCCATCCGTCACTGCTGGCTACTTGTTGGGCCACACAGGCAAAGACAAGGGTCTGTCAGTGAAGTCTTTGTGGGTTCCAGGATGGGACGCTCAGGCAGAAATGGAAAAATGGGTGATCGACAACCCTGACCTGAAGAAGTGGGCAAGCACCTTCAAGCCTGCTATGCAGGTGCTTGGGCTCTGTCTGGTGGTGCCAGACCATGAAGCCCCAGCAGTGTCCAAGCTCATGGTTTTCGACAGCATTCTCAAGGGATCCTCTGCTGCGACCTTGATCTTTGGCTTGGTTGGAAGTGACCGGAGGTGCACAATGTACCGTATCACCGACGAGGGCACCGCAGAGGAACTACGGCTTGAAGTGCATTGGGTTGGAGAAAGGTCTCTTTACACGGCCCATGTGGTGGCACAGGAGCTGGTGGTTGTCGAAAAGCTGAAGGAAGAAGCAAAGATGGCCTTTGAGAAGAAACCCATATGGAAGAGCATCCAGCAGAGAAAACAGGAACAAAATGCAAAAAGAAGGCCAGAAGAGGACAAAAGTGAACAAGTTCAAGTGACAGCTGAGGTCCACCTGAGAAAGGTAATAGACCAACTCCAGCATGTGGCAGACTTCTTGCTTGAAAGCCTTTCCAATTTCCACGATGACACCATGCCACAGCGGTACCAGGCCTGCTTGAGATCCTACCCCTTGGCAGAGTTCGAGCTGAGCAAAGCAGTGCCAGAAGCCAGCAAATGGCCAGCAACGATTGCACAAGCAGGACAACGCATGGCCATGGCATTGCAATTGAAAAACGCACTGGAACTTCGTTTGACCAAGAGGAAGCTGAACACGTCGCACACCTATGATGGCTTCAAGTCTCGCAGAAAGACCTGTTCCACTCATGGAAGCTCGGCCTCTGGGACCCCAAAAGTTAGAAGACTCGACAGTTCGTCCGCCCAGTCGACCGAGAGATCCCAGGCGAGCCAGAGAGAGGATGATGAAGAGGACTGGCGCTGAGCAAAGGAAAGACCAACCTATATAAAAAATACATAATACATATATATATATAATATATATATTACGTATAATATGGAAATCCCAGTCTGAACCGTTGGAAACCTTTTTAGAGAGGTGACCCTGGAAAAGCCCCAAACATAGGTGCATAGCGGGTGATTTGAACTTTTTCAATGGTTCAGAAGACAGTAGCCCAAAAAGTACAAAAGGGGGGGTTGACTTCCTATTCAAATGGAGTTTTCTCTCACCCCTGCAGTAAGCAGAAACGTAGATCTGCTTACTACAATCTTATTTCTTTGAGAAGGTGGACAGCTTTGCCCAAGGGTCAAACATGGGTCAAACCTTATATTTTTACATTGGTACATACGGAAGAACGTATCAGATTTAGCTTCGTCATGGGTTCAAATTTATATTGACGATATATCTATCCAATCCTCGCGTGTTTTTTTTTGCTTTTTTAAATCTATCCATCCATCCATCCATCCGTCCGTCCATCCATCTATCTATCTATCTATCTATCTCTAAATATAAATAAATAAATATATATCTATATATATATATGCTTCCACATATGCACAGGTGTATGGATGCATGTGTACATCAAATCTACGCTCACATCCTTGCGCGTCGCCCGTTCGCCCAGGAGCAAACAGCACCGAGAAAAAACGCTTCAGGGGTAACACCAACACCAACACAAACACCAACACCAACACCAACGCCACCACCACCACCACCACCAACAACAACAACAACACGCAACACGCAACACGCAACACCCAACACGCAACACGCAACACGCAACATCATGCAACACCATGCAACACCATGCAACACCATGCAACACCATGCAACACTATGCAACACCACGCAACACGCAACACGCAACACGCACAACGCGCGCAACAGACAGCAACACACAGCAACACAAAGCAACACACAGCAATACACAGCAACACACAGGAACACACAGGAACACACAGGAACACACAGGAACACACAGGAACACACAGGAACACACAGGAACACACAGGAACACACAGGAACACACAACAACACACAACAACACACAACAACACACAACAACACACAACAACACACAACAACACACAACAACAACACAACAACACACAACAACACACAACAACACCCAACAACACACAACAACACACAACAACACACAACAACACACAACAACACACAACAACACACAACAACACACAACAACACACAACAACACACAACAACACACAACAACACACAACAACACACAACAACACACAACAACACACAACAAAACACAACAACACACAACAACACAACAACACACAACAACACACAACAACAGACAACAACACACAACAACACACAACAACACAACAACACACAACAACACACAACAACACAACAACACACCACACACCACACACCACACACAACACACAACAGACAACAGACAACAGACAACAACACACAACAACACACAACAACACAACAACACACAACACACAACACACAACACACAACACACAACAGACAACACACAACACACAACACACAACACATAACACACAACACAACACACAACACACAACAGACAACGCACAACACACAACACACAACACACAACATATAACACAACACACAACATAGAACACAACACACACAACACACCACAACAACCACAACAACCACAACAACCACAACAACCACAACAACCACAACAACCACAACAACCACAACAACCACAACAACCACAAGAACCACAACAACCACAAGAACCACAAAAACCACAAGAACCACAAGAACCACAAGAACCACAAGAACCACAAGAACCACAAGAACCACAAGAACAAAACCAACAACCACAACCACAACAACAACAACAACACCAACAACAACACGACCAACAACACCAACACCACCAACAAACCCAACCACACCAGCAACACTAACAATACCAACAACACCACCAACACCAACAACACCAGCATTAACAACACCAACAACACCAACACCACAACCACCGCCAACCCCAACCACACCGCCGAAGCCTTTCCGTCGCTTTTACCAGACTCCACTTTATATTGTAAGAGAGAAAATGGCCGCGTCGCTTTTATCAGACTCCACTTCATGTTTTTTTTCCTTGCCCTCTCTCCTTTCTTTTTTCTTCGGTTCCTTTCTTGCTCACCTACCTTTCGTGTTCCCCCTCTCAAGTTTCTTTCTCAACTCCTGGAATCCAAAAAATGTGGAAAATTGACTAGCTTTGGTGTTGACATGTTTCTTTCTCAACTCCTGGAATCAAAAAAATGGGGAAAATTGACTAGTTTTGGTGTTGACATGTGTTTTCTCAACTCCTGGAATCCAAAAAATGGGAAAAATAACTAATTTTGGTGTTGGCGGACTGAAACTTAGAACCACTACCCTCCAAATATAGCAAAATCATGTAATATACATATGTACATATATACATATATTATATATATACCTGTTTGTTCTCAACTCCTGGAATCCAAAAAAAAGGGGAAAATTGACTAGTTTTGGTGTTGACGGAATGAAACTTAGAACCACTACTCTCCAAATATAGCAAAATCATGTAATATACATATGTACAAATATACATATTTATATATATATATAACTCCTGGAATCCGAAAAATTGGGAAAATTGACTAGTTTTGGTGTTGACATGTTTCTTTCTCAACTCCTGGAATCAAAAAATGAGGAAAATTGACTAGTTTTGGTGTTGACGTGTTTTTTTTCTCAACTCCTGGAATCCAAAAAATGTGGAAAATTGACTAGTTTTGGTGTTGACGGACTGAAACTTAGAACCATTACCCTCCACATATAGCAAAATCATGTACTATACATATGTACATAAATACATGTTTATATTATATACATATATATATACATGTTTTTTCTCAACTCCTGGAATCAGAAAAATTAGGAAAATTGACTAGTTTTGGTGTTGACATGTGTTTTCTCAACTCCTGTAACCCAAAAAATGGTGAAAATTGACTAGTTTTGGTGTTGACATGTGTTCTCTCAACTCCTGGAATCCAAAAAAATGGGGAAATTGCCTAGTTTTGGTGTTGACGTATTTCTTTCTCAACTCCTGGAATTAAAAAAATGGTGAAAATTGACTAGTTTTGGTGTTGACGTGTTTTTTTTCTCAACTCCTGGAATCCAAAAAATGTGGAAAATTGACTAGTTTTGGTGTTGACATGTTTCTTTCTCAACTCCTGGAATCCAAAAAATGGGGAAAATTGACTAGTTTTGGTGTTGACGGACTGAAACTTAGAACCACGGTCCCAAAATATAGAAAAATCATGACGAGTGATTCTAAGTTGCTCCCAAAACGCCCCGAAATGGGTCAGGTTCTATCTTCTGGGTAAAAAAAATGGAAAGCTGCGGGCATTCTAAGTTTCAGACCGTCAATATATATATATATATATAGATAGATAGATCGATAGATAGATAGATAGATATGTTATATACATATTATTTTATATATAAATATATATACATACATATATATATATATGGTGTTGCTATATATATATAGTGTTGCTATATATATATATTTATATATTATTTAATGTACCCTTTTTTGTTGTTCCCAGTATCTTGCGCTGCTTTTTGCTGCGTGTGCATGAATCCTCCATCATAAGGCATAAGTCACCCACACTGGCGGCCTGCTGAGGCCAAGAAATCAGTGGCGCTTCAGCCACCGCTATGTGAGAATGAATGGATTCGCTGGATTCGCAAAGTTTGGCCTCCGCACGCTTGATGCTGCTGGATGCAAAATGTAAATACTTCGTCGCATGTGCTTGTCATCCAACTCTCAGAGCTTTGCTGATGCAGTTGCTTTGAGTGTTGAGACTGTTTGCAAGCTGCCATCATTGTTAGATCTACTGCTATCATACTATGTAGCAAATGATTAAATTGACCAATGGTGTATGGTGGCATGATGCGGAATATGATGAAACGGTGGGAGACTAGTGCCTTGTCAAGTCTTGCCCCACATCGGGCCGCCAAGAATTAATTGCATTTGGTTCGGAGCCATGTGCCAGCAAAACCCGGATCCAAGCCCCGCTAATCTTAGATTGACATTGTACTTTTGAAATGATCCTCCTCTGTGAGAGCCGAGTTAAGCCCTGCAAATGGATTATCGGACATGTCCAAAAATCAGCAACTTGGAGATCCAGGGATCATGTGCAAAGGATTTGTACAGAGAGGTTTGAAATATATATGCACACATGCATGAATGTGGATGATCTGCCTGACGTTTCGTTTTTGAGATGTTGAGAGCAATATTCCAGGTAATAGTGCATGGTACTAGTACTTGCTTGAACAGAATTGGACATGCAATGGGATGTCGAAGAATGCTCTCTTTCTTCGCAGAGTTTGATTTTCCCGTTTCAAAATGGAACTCACGGAACTCGCAACATCCAAGTTTCACACCTTCATAGACTCCAAAGGATGCTCTCAGTAAGGATTCACTACAGTTGGAGCGTCAAGTTTCAAGACGACTCAAACCATAGAGGACAAAGATATCAGGTTTGCCTTGATCGAATGTCTGAGCGGTTGGGTCGACCAGCAGAGAGTTCCAGTGTTGCAGCACTGTTGTTTGGACATGTTCAAACAAGGATGGCAGAGATGATCCTGGGAATGGAATCGATAGACGTCGATAGATGATAAACACGCAAGATCTTGCTAGCCGTCCAATCATTCGGCCATCAGTGCGTGCACGCCGCAAGGATGCTGGCGAGCTTGATTCGACGTTTGGAGGAGTTCGCCGAACACTTTGTTGCTGAACACAGCACTGGCTGTCCCAGGTTGGCATAAAGGGCAGAGAATGACAGGAGTGCAAGTGTGAGTGATACCTACGAAATCCTCAGGCTGTAAATAATAGTGGTCTCAGACTGACGTTTTTTTTGACTGAAGCATAGCTTTTGCCCTGATTCAACAATATGGAGATCAACTCAAAGCATTGACGATGTGGAAACAAGATGCAGCCCACGAACCCAAATGCTCACACGTAAGTTAATGGTGATGATGTCGAAACACATGGAAATGCAGTCATGCAGAACACTTTTCTGAAACAGTTTATTTACCCTGGGCATCACCTATTGATTCTAATCAATATTCTCAAACAAAAATCAATAATTTTTATTGATTTCGAGCCTGGCTTTTTCAATAGAAAACCAGCAAGGAAATTTGTGGAAAATCAATAAGCATGGCACAAACGAAAGAAAGTGCAATTTGATCAAACTTGATCAAATTTGATCAAACTCAGGCGAAATTTGATCAAATTTGATCAAATCTGATCAAATCTGGCGGTTTCAGAATCAATACCAAATCAATAGCGAAATCAATACAGAAATCACTATTTTTAGAAAACGAAAAATATTGATTTATTTCGAGAATATTGATTAGAATCAATAGTCGATGCCCAGGGTACACAATCTTGTACATTTAAGGTGTAAAGTGTAAAGTGCAGAGTGTGCAGTGCAGAGTGTAAAGTGTGGAATGTAAAGTGTGGAGCGTGAAGCGTGGAGTGGAAACTGTGAAGTGTAGAATGCTGAGTGTAGACTGTAAAGTCTGGAGTGTAGAGTGTGGAGTGTAGAGTGTAAAGTGTGGTGGAGTGTGGGGTGTAAAGTAGGGAGCGTGGAGTGTGAAGTGTGGAGTGAGGGGACCCCCTCTGAACAATATATGTTGATTGGGGTAATGACATCAACTATATCTCCATGAGGGATCAAAATTCGCCAGCCCCCCTTTGAGCAATATGTTGATTGGGTAATAACATCAACTAAATCTCCATGAGGGATTAAATTTCGACACCCCCTATGAGCAATATGTTGGCTGGCATAATAACACCAACTTTATCTTGATGAGGGGTCAAAAATCATCACCTCCTATGAACAATATGTTGGCTGGCTAATAACATCATTTTTTATCTTCATGAGGGATCAAAATTCGTCGCCCCCTATGAACAATATGTTGGTTGGCATAAATAACATCAATGTTATCTTGATGAGGGATCAAAATTTGCCACCCCCTATGAACAATATGTTGATTGGGGAAATAACATCAATTTTATTTATCTTCATAAGGGACCAAAATTCGCCATCCCCTAATGAACAATATGTTGATCGGGGTAATATCATCATCTTTATCTTCATAAGGGATCAAATTTCGCCATCCCCTATGAACAATATGTTGACTGGGGTAATAACATCAACTTTATCTTCATGGCCACCTGAAGTCAGACGCAGAGCAACGTCAGGGTTGCAGCGAACAAATTCAAGCGTTTTCAAAGTATTTGCTTTATCATCCTGCGGGGAGTCTGGAATTGCTAAGCCACGAGGAAGTCCAATCAGTCTTTGACTTTGAGCACCAAAAAAAAGTAAACACAATTCCAAAAGCTGCGTAACATTGGACTAAGCACTCATTGGCATGGCACAGACATGAGGTTTCATCATAGCTGTGACTAAGAGGAAACTTTTGGCCATGAGTTGATTCAGTCTCACATGGATGCGTCAGCATGTGTCCATAGTCTGACCGACTTGCCCCTTTGATTGGAAAAGTTTTGCAAAAACGAATTCGCAAGTTTCGTTCTTTTGCCTGAATGCTGCCTTTTCTGTGCCCGAATAGTGCTTTTGTTTGCCCGAGTTTTTCCTGACTGTTTGGGAGGGTCTGCCAAAATCAGGCCGAGTTTTTCTTATTTCAACAAAAAATACAAATTCAAGTATTTTCAAGTCATAAAAGGGTCTCACTTCCTAGGATGCCACAAAGATGAGTTAAAACTAGATAAGCACATGCTTGTGACATCTTGTGACAAAATAACAGCATTCATAAGGTTCTTCTTCCGCCCGCCCATCAATGCTCCAACAAAATTGAGATTTTCTGCATTGGAGCCTGAACTCGTCCCGAAAATTTGACTGCGATCTAGCCAAAATTATCCAAAATTAGACTGCAACGTAAAATCTTGATAAAATCTGCATTAGTCTCATGGTGAAATTTCAGGCTGAGACCTCTTGATTTTCCAAGTATGACCACACAAGGCGTTATTGTCGGAGAAGAATCGTTGGCACAAAGTCAGGCTGAATCAGCCATTTGAAGGGTTTGCATACGTTTGCATCCGCACACTTTTTGACAGACATGTACAGAAATGGTTTTATCTAATTATACGGATTCGCCATTTTTCTTACCGGGGACTTTCTGAGGAATCAACATCATGTGGCGCGGTTCAAACCTTAGGAGGAACCAGGTCATTTCAGCCAATTGCCAATCGCACATTGCAGGAGCCCGACATTGAAGTGGTCAACTGCCATGTTTGGGGTCTCAGTTGATGTGTACTGCGTCAACCCCCCTTTAGAATCTAGGTTCTATCCAGTTATAACTAGGCTCACAACTCAGCTAAGATACAATCGTAACTCCATAACTCGTGTTTTAAAGTTATGATACTTATCACCCGATTTTATGATGATTAAGTTGGATTATGCTATTTATGATGTTTACTAAAAATGTCTAACTTTAGCATAACCAACATAAGTCAACATATATAATTCAATATAATTCAACATAAGCATGGACATTTGATCAGTTAAATACAAGTGGCCAAAAAAAGCGTGCTCATATCTTGTTTAAGAAGTAAGATTTTAAGCTGATCACAGATGATGTGCTGGAACTTTGATCTGCGTGTTTGCGTGAGCTGCCTTGTGTGCTGGACTTTGGAATGTCACGGGGGGCGCGGCGGCAAGGAAGGTGGTGCGCGCCACCAGGTCCAGCGGGAGGGGCTGATGGAGATTCAGTACGCAAAAGGAAAGCCTAGCCAGCAGCTTGCTTTGCCACCCATTGCTTCTCAAAGCGAAGCCAATGATTCCCAAGATTCCGACAATGCGAGCCTTGTGCCTGCTGTGGCGAATCCTCTGTTGGCAGTGCCTGCCTCACAGGCCACTCCACCTACCACAGCAGTCGATCCTGTTGAGCAACCAGATCGGGTAGATCGCGACGAGAATCGCCAAGAATCACCTGCCATGCAAGCATGTTTGGGCGCGGTCAAAGAAGGATTGCTGAGTGGCACTGGCAAGCCGCAGAAAGAGGCTAAGAAAAAGCCTAGCGCCAAAGCCAAGGCGGCAAAGCTTGCCAAAGCTGGGAAGCCTTGTGGTAAGAAAGCACAGGTTGCCAAAAAGAAATCGGTTGCCAAGCATGACAAGGTAAAGGGCAGCAAACCTGCGAAGGAAGATTGCAAAGCAGCTGCAGGCAAAGGGAAAGGGCGCCAAGCCTTGGAGCGAGACGAACCCGCCCCCCAAGAACCTCATTCGCAAGTACCGATTTGGGTGCTCCAGGTGCCGCCATGCAGCTAACTGCACGCCGTCGTGCTGGGCTCGCAGGGGATTTTAGGCTGTGCATTCATTGTAGTTTCTTTTCATGCGCCCACTGTCGCTTTGCGTGTTTGCACGCATGCGACGCATGGCTGAACATGGGAAATTAGGATCAACAGCGATCCTGACGATTGCCTGCCATCGGAGAAAAAAAATCAGCGGTCGCAGAGCGAACCTCCTGGCCGTGTGTGAACCACGGGAGGCGCGACATGACGGGGTGATAGGCGCGCGCCACCGGGATCGGGGAGGGGCTGGTTCCTTTTGGGAATTGGAATTGAATTGGAAATTATAGCGTTGGAAATTGGAATTGGAAATTGGCATTGGAAATTGGACTTGGAAATTGGCATTGGAAATTGGAAATTGGAAACTGGAATTTGAATTTGAAATTGGGTCTGTTGCATTTTCATTGCTTGGCATTCCATGATGTTTGAATTTTGCTTTCGCAAACTGGCGCAAAGCCGCGTCAATTGTTTGTGGTTTGGACTGATTTGTTTGCATTCGTCTTGGCTGCTATTTTTTCATTTCGAAGCATTTTTAGCTGTCAAGGATTGCTCAAAGAAGCATTATTGGAAATAATGGACATTGTTGCAACGTCAAAGAACGTATGGGTCGGTGGCATGGGAAGCAAAAGGAGTTTCCAGGAACTCCTCGACCATACTGCAGAGTATGAAGTCAAAGACAATACGTGCCTTGCATTGTTTTGGGATTCTCTTGTTGCATTTTCCATGTTTTTCCGCTTGGATTTGTTCTTAATTTCCTTTTTTTCGATTTTCCGGAAGACCAAGGTTTGCCACCGGCGGCTATGCCTGGGTCCTCA